GGGACTTCCCGGAGCCATCCCGCAGCCGCAGCCCCGAGAAGTCCAGCCTCTCCCGGGTCCCCCAGCCTCTCTCTATACCACCATCTGGGGATAAAAACTGGCCACTTCCGGCGTCTCGATGGAGTCCCTTGCCTTTGAATTCCGTCATGCCTTTTCCTCCATCGACCTCCCTTTCCGTTCTTTGCTGTGTTCTCCTGCTCAATAAATGTCCGTGGGGTTCCTGTGGTGCGTGGAGCTCCACGCCCCGCCCTGGGAACAGCTGGAGTCGGGGTGGGCTGGCCCCTTAGGGACGCCCACTTGATGATCCTCAGGTCAGACACCAGAGCCCCCCCCCCAGATCCCTGCGAGGAGAGTGCAGCCACACAGAGGTCCACGGGGCTGTGAGGGAGGACAGGCCTCGGGACACATCTGCCCGGCCTGGGGCGTGTGGACGCAGCTCGTCCACTTGGCCACGCCTCCCGGAAAGCGGCCTCCACTCAGCATGGCCGGGGCACTGCCTTCTCCCTGCAGGGACAGTGTGACCATGCAGCCCTTCGAAGTCTCGTGCTCACTCTCTTTAATTAAAGAGTTTTCTCCTGAAACAATCGCCAGACCCTGTGGCCCACCGCAAGGGTGCGGCTCACCCTTTGCTCCCAGCAGGGGTGGAGGGAGGCAGTTCAGGGACATGGGAGAGTCCTTTGCCTGCAGGGACCGAGATAAAGGAAACCCCACCTTTCTCTGGCTGCCGTCAGCAGTGGCCAGGCTTCAGGACTCGACAGGTAACTGGATTTTCCACACCCTGACCTGAGTGGGATCCTAGGTTCTGACTCACTGCAGTTGACCCTTGGCCCAGGGCTGCTTCCCCCTGGGTGTTCGCGAAGGAGGCGGCATTTCCCTGGCTTTCTCTGTGGCCCCTCTCCTTCCCAGTGGGAATCCTGTGGTCTCTCCACATTTGGGAAAAGACCGTGTTTGGAGGCAGAGGTTGGGTGTAGCCAAAGCCCACCTGTCCCCACACTTCCCACACACCCCCTCATCCCAGGACCCCCTTCAGGCAAGCGACGGCTCCACACGGGCAGGGAGAACCCCAGATGCCGACCCCTACCAGGCCTCTCCCACTTGGAGCCTAGTGCAGCCTGGGAGGGAAGGCACGCGGGCCCTCTGCCGGGTGCGGGCTGTCCCTCCACGCAAGCAGCAGTGGCTAGTTCGAGTTACTGAGTGGCTTTCTCCAGAGTTCTCTCCGTGGGCATCGCCTGGGAGACCCGTGTCTGCCCTGCTTTCCTGGTGGGCTGTCTGCGCCACCTCCTCGAGAAGCACCTGCGAGGCAGGGCGGTGCCGCTGTGAAGCCACGAGAGGGGAGGCGGAGGTTGGAGGGCTGGGCACAGCCACTACGCCATGGGCTCATGTCGGCACCTGGGCCACAGCCCCATGTCTGCGACGTCCTGGAGCACTACAGCCCTCCCTGCCTGTCGCCACTACGGTGCGCTGTGACTGTGCCCTCCCTGCTGTCTGTGCCGTCTGTAACGGTGACATGGGCTTCTTCTGGGCTTGGCTCCTCCCCACGCTAACAGCCTCAGAGCCCCCTGTCCATGTTGGCTGCAACGGCAGCCCTTGGAAATGATTCCGGAAGCCAGAGCACACGGGCCCGGTGCAGACAGGGTTGAGCAGCTGCAGACTGAGGACAACTGGAAATGCGCTTCCGGTCGACTCAGAGAAGTCAGCATGCACTGGGCCCACTCAGGGTTAACCTGTGCCTGCGCAGCCTGCTGTCTGCCTCACTCCATTGGCAGGAAGCCCAAGGATCATCCCAGGACAGGTGGAGGGGCCCGCAGGTGGCGTACTGGTTAAGGCACTGGACTCCCATATGGCTGATCACGGTTTGAGTCCCGGACCTAGCAGCTTGAAACTCATACGGGGCTCGTGCAAGCCCAAAATGCTGAGAGAAGAATGGGAGAGAAGGGATTGTGGCATGGCCATCCCCCCGGGGAGTGATTTCTCGCTTTCTGCTTTCTCTGTCCCTCTCTGTATCTCTTCAGCGAGTGCACACAAACTATAGCAAAAATCTCTCTCAAAAAAAAGAGCTAGTGGAAAAAAACAAGATTCCATTCATTTCTTTCCAGATGTTAATCTGTCCTGTTGTGCACCTTAAATCAGTAAATGTTGAGGTAAATTCTACCTCAGTGAAATTGATGAAAGATTTAAATAAAGCAAAAATAGAGTATCTTCACACGAGGAAAATTCCAAGCCTAGATGGTTTCATTGGTAAATTATACCAAACATTTATGGAAGAAATAATAGCAAGCCACTGCAGGACCTTGTGTGATTTGGGGAGTTGGAAATACCCCAATTCATCTCCTGAGGGCACCACTACCCTGATGCCAAAACCAGACACGTGTATCACAAAAAGAAAGAAGACCAGTGTCCCGGATGAGCGTAGATGCAAAAATCCTTAGCAAAAATTAGCGAGTTCAATTTGGCCGCCATTAAAAATGACAATACTTCAAGGTGGAGTAAAGTGGTTTGTCCTAGGAATGCAAGGCTAGCTTAATGTCCTAGAATCAACCACGGAAATTTGTTAACACACTAAAAAAGAAAAAGATCATCTCAGCAGATACAGAAAAAGCACTTGGCAGGGGGACCAACAAGATGGCATAATGGCTGTGTCGCTGGACTCCCATGTAGTTGACCGTGGTTCAAATCCCAGACCTGGTGGCTTAAACTCACGCCGGGCATGTGTGTGTGCGTGCCCAAGATCCCAAGAAGAGAATGGAGGAGAAGGGATTGTGGTGTGGCCATCCCCCCGGGGGCTGATTTCTCGCTTTCTGTCTGTCTATCTATCTCTCTGGCGAGTGCATGTGCCCTATTACAAAAACCTCTTCAATAAATAAATAAATAAATAGTAGCATTTGGCAGGATTCACCCAATCCAATAGCCAAACAGCAAACACAAAAATACCTCTTAGCAAACTAGGAATGAAGGAAACTCCCCTACCTGATCAAGGGCACTGTGCGAACCCTGCAGCTGACGTCATTCCTACACGGTTTACCCCCACTATTCATTAGCGATCATTTTAACCACACAAACTGCGAACACAGGATAGGGAGCCTGTCTGAGTTCCCAGCAGGGGACCCGACCCAGGAAGCTAGCAGAGCTCATCTTCTTTACAGCACCGTCTACTGATGCAATTGGGCAAGAACAAGAGAAGTCATTCAGAGTCAAAAAGAAGGAATAGAATCTTCTTTGTGCACTAGTGGCAAGCGCAACTGTGCGGAAAAGCCGATGAAACCTTCAAAAAGTAACTATTAGAACTCATGGTTGGGTTTGGCAAAACTGCAAGACGCATACAAAAATGAACTTTATTTCTCTATAACCGCAACAAACAAGTAGAAATGGAAGTTCTGGAAATCAGCGTCATTTACTGTAGCACCAAAAAACATGAACGAGTTAGATACCAAAACATGGGCAAGGTCCGCATGCCGAAACCACAAAACACCGACTAAAGACATTTGAGAGTCAAACAGGACAGCGTACTGTCTTCCTGGATGGGAGGACTCAATTCCGAAAAGAATTGAGGCCTTCCTAGTCCTAGCATCTCCACCAGACACGAATCCATGAAACAGGGCCCAGAAATAGGCCATCTGGAGGTGGTCAGCTGACTTTGTTTTTGAAGTTTATCTCATGAGAGAGTGAGACACTTGACAGAGACTCTCCAAACCCCCCTCCTTCCCTGAGCCCACAGCCAGCCACAATTCCGGCATACACAAATGTGCCCGACTTGTTCAGTTCCACCTGGGCTTCGAACTTGGGTCTCCAGCCTTGCACAGCAGTGCCCCCAACACCTGCTCTACTGCGGCTAGGCTGGTCCATTACCTTTCGACACAGGTGCCAGGGTAATTCAATGGTGAAAAGGTTGTCATTACACCGTGGGGTTGCGGCGACTCAACTCTATGGAAACACAGCTGCAGCCTGACCTCCCACCACTTGCAGAAATCAACGCAGAAAGATCATTGATCCAGATACAAGAGCTGCAAAGCTCATCGGTATCCTTCCAGATTGTGACTGACGAGGCCAGGGTGATCTGGACGGCCAGGGTGGGGAACTGCTCCCCCAAGGGTACCGTCTCCGGGACGGTGATGCAAGTGGCAGAAACAGGCGAGGACGTAAACGGCCTCGCAGAACCGTGTCGCCCAGGGCTCGACCTTGACTCCAGGCTCCAGGCTGACTGGGCCCAGGGGCTCGTCGTCATTGTCAGACAGGCCCAGTGAGAGCTGGGCTCAGGGCCCCTCCCTGCACCCACCTGTGAGGCCAGGGGGCCCGCAGGGCTCCCAGAGGTGGGTGGAGGCAGGAGTGAGAAAGTTCTCCCCAAAGGAAATGGAGGTGTCACCCCCGCCCGACTCGGGGAGGCATGCTGTTGAGTGTGGACCCCGGGCTTCAGTGGTCACGAGTGCAGTTTCTGGGGTCAGGTCCTAGATCTGGGGCCTCCCTCCCCCTGCTGGGAACAGGGCTATGCACACATCTCGGGGTATGGGCTCTCTGCAGTCGGCATGGTGATGCTCAGAGCAGGAAGCCAGACCCAGGGCAGGACTTGGGGGTGTGGACAGAGCGGGGGGTGCCGTCTGTCTGGTCTGTCCTGCCTAGAGGCCCTGCCCTTCCTCCCCCATTACCTCTTCCCCTCCTCCTCCCCCCACAGCCCACCCCCGTGGGCACCATCCAGCCTGGAGGGGTCAGAGCAAGGGCAGCATGCAGGCTGGAGAGGAGCCAGGGAGCGTGGGGAGGAGCCAAGCTCAGAAGAAGCCCATGTCATGCGGCTTCTGTAAATCGAAACTAGACTTTCCTGGCGCATTTTCCGGGACCCACCCCAGGAGAGTTTCCTGGGTTGAAGGGCAGTTGGCAGAAGGCTCTGCAGCTGAAGGCAGGAGGCCCCAGCAGCCCCCACAGCTCCCCAAGCAGGTAAGCCCCTCCAGCCTCTTGCTCTCAAGTGGGTGCTCCTTTTTCCACACTGGGATCAAGGGGGTTCTGCCCCCCTGCACCCAGAGCCGGAGCGGGAGTTGGTGCTCCAAGCCCAGGGGCCGGCACGGCTGTCGATCCACAGCCCTGAGTGTGGCCGGGCGGGCTGTTGCTGTCCAGGGCAGGCAGGTTGGGATTAGCGCCCACCCTCCCAGACGAGTGCACTCTGACCCAGGCCTGCACCCGGTC